ATGCATTGCTTCCAAACATATCAATCAGCAGCCACCTTATAAAAAAACAAAGCAAAACTTTCACAAATGTTTCCCTCCCCGGTCGCTTGCAGTGTATTGGAGCTCGCCACAGGCGATCAAGCCGGCTGGCATTCTATGCTTCCAGGTGAAACCTCACCTGTCAAACTCTTCAAAAATTTCACGAACTGTCAAGGCAGACACTAAGGTGATCATGTAGGGCAGGCAGTTGTGCTGTCTGCTGAGGGCGAGCATCTTGGCGTAACGGGGCGCCACCGGAAACGATGCCATGGTGCCCCCCAGGGGGCTGATGGGACAGCTCAGCTTTGCTTCTTGGAGTTTCTTTGGCCTAGAAGAAGAGAACATTTCTCTAGACATGGTTAAGCCATTAAGAGCTGACACTTAAAGTCAGGCTCCTTTTATCATATGTGGTGGACATGTGACAAGGCAAGAAATTATCGGGCTGAGATACATAAAGAAATGGAAAAAAATGTAAAATGCAATTTTAAAAAAGAACCTGAAATATTGTTGTTGGGACTTAAAATGGAAGAAGTTAATGTGCAGAGAAGAACATTGATGTGATATATGATCACAACTGCTAGAATGATTTATGCACAATGTTGGAAACAAGACAGAATCCCGGAAATTGAGGAATGGATAAAGAAATTAATATTTATGGTTGAAATGGACAAAACGACAAGAAAACTTAAGTTCCTTGAAGCAGAAGAATTCTATGCAGACTGGAAAGACTTTAAAAAGTACTTAGAAAAATATTGGGATGTAAAGGACAATTTAATTTGCTTTGACAAATATTGAAAAGTTAATGTTATTAGATGAAAGTTAATTAAGAGAAAATACTAGTAGAAAAGAAATGTTACCGGTAGACTATGATTAGAAGATAAGTGGAAAATAGAAAAGAACTAAGAAATGGGCTGGAGGTTGGAGCACTGTGGGAAGCCAGGAGGGGAGGGGAAAGAGAAGAAAGGATGTATAACCAAAAAATATTGTGTTGTATGTTTGAACTAATAATATATCCTAATAAATTGTTTTTTTTGGGGAAAAAAAGAGCTGACACTTAAAAGTCAGTTTACACCGACAGAGCCATCAAACAGAAGAATCAGCGGTGAGAGGAGATGAATGATTCAGGGATCGTTGAGACGGGTGTGCCATACCTTCCAGACTTGGGGGGCTCCTGCAAGGCCCCCAGAGCGATAAGCAACTCCTCAGCCGCTACAAGCGCGTCCGTTGGTGGGGGTGTCGGGAAAGGGAAGTTGACCACCTACAAACGCAAGGGGGACAGCCACCATTAAGGGGGCGGGGAGGACAGGTAACGTCCGAAACAACAGGGTAAGGAGTGTTCCATTTCAAGTCCAGCCATGGAACAGTGAACAACCTGTATTTAAGCTAACCCCGATGACAGGACTACCACAAAGAACCCCCCAGGTGTAAGACGCCAAGCTTAGATTTCATTAGCAACTCAGACACTGTAGAAGTCAAGTGTTTCTGGTGGGTAGCCGTGTTGGGTCTGCAGCGGAAGAGCCAGGTTCGAGTCCAGCAGCACCCGAAAGACCAACACGATTTCCAGGGTGCAACCTTTCAAGACCCTAGGCTCCCCGAGTATTGAGTCTGGAAATCTGGTTGGTCTTTAAAGCACGACTGGACTCAAATGTTGTTCTTTTTGACCATTTAGAGAGGTCTTCCCGCAGCAGGAAAATTGCTGGCCCAAGTTAGGGGTTGGTTACGTCTGTAAAGACTTAACACAAAGTTGACCTGTTACCCCTTTTTTCAGGGAATGCTGGGAACTGTAGTTCTGGGGAAAGTGGTCAACACTCAGCGCTTTACCAAACTGTAATTCTTAGGAAATTTCCGCAGGAAGCCACAACAGCAAGGAGAACATAAGAAGAGCCCTGCTGGGTCCTGGCTCCACGAATCTATCTAATCCCCCTTTGAAGCGGTTTACTCCTCTGGCCATCACTACATCCTCTGGCAGCCAATCCCACATTTTAATCACTCCCTGAGTAAAGCAGTGTTTCCTTTTGTCCATCCTGAAACCTACTGCCCATCAGCTTCATTGTAAACTCTTGAGTTCTAGTATTTTGGTTCTAGTATTCTTTCTACCCCATGCATAATCTTACAAACTTTTACCATGTCTCCCCTTAGTCATCTCTTTTCTAAACCGAAAAGTCTCAGTCTCTTCGGCCTTTCCTCAGACGGAAGGTGCTCCAATCCCCTAATAATCCTGGTTGCCCTCTTCTCTACTTTCCCCAGCTCTGCAACGTCCTTTCTAAGATACGGTGACCAGAACTGGACACGGTCTTCCAAACGAGGCCGCACCATAGATCTATACGGGGGGCATTACAATATCAGCCGCTTTATTCACAATCCCTTTCCTAATAATCCCTATCCATAGAGTCGGAAGACTGTTGTTTTTCGCTGGGATATTCTAGAATGGACTCTGCCACAGAACAGTCCAAGCGACGAAGACGGGGCGGGGCAGGGCGGCGGCGGGGATCTGCCTCGCACTTCGAGATCTGTGGCTTTTAAAGCCGCTGGGGAGGGCAGTCCCCCCCCCCCGAACAAGGACGGACCACGAGGATGCCTCAGTCCCCACCTTTTCGATATTCAGCGCCTTCATCTGCAAAATCAAATCTTCAACGGGTCGCCTGGTGATCTCCGGAGGAGTGAACTTCTCGAAGTCGCTGAAGACGGCCGAAGAGTACAGCCTGCCAGAGAGAGAGGGGTTTTTTTCCAGGCTCAATGGCTCTCCTCAGCTATGCAGCCAGATGTCGGGATCAGCCGGGACTGGAGAGGTATCGCCCCTATCCTTTAGATGGCACAGCACAGACACCAGCGCCCTTTCCCCAGTCTGAGCGTGGTGCCTCCCGCTTCCTACGGGTCCTTCGTGAGCTGACATGTGGCATAATTCGTCGTTTCCTGCCCTCCCCGTGACCTTTATTCCTGCAAAAACTGGACTCCAGCTTCACTTGCTCCAAGTGTTTCTGCTAGGGTTGCCAACACTGAGTTGGGAAATTCCTGGAGATTTGGGGGGGGGGGGAGCCTGGGGAAAGGGAATTAGAGGAGGGGAGGGAACCTTAGCAAAGTATAATACCATCAGTTCCATCCCCCAAAGCAGCCATTTTCTCCAGAGGAACTGATTTCGGTCGTCTGGAGGTCAGTTTTAATAAGAGGCCCTGACTGGAGGTTGGCAACCCTCGTTTCTGCCCATCACCTAGAGAGCCAGTTTGGTGTCGTGGTTAAGTGCGCGGACTCTAATCTGAGAGAACCGGGTTTGATTCCCCACTCCTCCACTTGCACCTGGCTGGATGACCTTGGGCAAGCCGTAGTTCTGATAAGAGCTGTCCTTGAAAAAGAGCAGTTTCTGTCAGAGCTCTCTCAGCCCCACCTGCCTCCCAGGGTGTCTGTTGTGGGGAGGGGGAGGTAAAGGAGTTTGTAAGCCGCTCTGAGACACCTTTGGGTAATGAAGGGCGGGGTATAAATCCAATCCTTCTTCTTCACCTTCCCAGCATCACTCTTTGGTTTGCCGGCTTCCCTATCTGCCGTCCGTCCCTCCTTCCCTCTTATTTGAGCCTCCTATAGTCAAACCTCAGGTCCTAACCTGCCACAGTCTCGGAGGCACCAGGGTGTGACTTGACACCAAAGGCTGGAAAAGGTCTGTTGGCGTTGAGCACAGAGAGGCTGAAGAGAAAAAGCCTTTAAAATCATGGCCTGAAAAATCTATCCCAGTGCTTCTATTTTGAATAATCCAGCCAGAGTTCTAAAGAACTCCAAAGCTACCACACAGTTCTTGTGTCATTTCGGTTCTCCCTAAGAACAACCGTTAGAACACAGTGGAGCACACAACCAGTGGGACACACAACGTGGAACACACAAAGGATACGCAACTTCTCCCAGAATTCTCTTACTCTGGGGCTCTCCGCCCACAAAATGGCAGCTCACCTGTAACAGTGGCCCGGTTCCGTGCGGCCTGCTCGGCCGGCCCGCTGGTTGGCGGAAGCCTGAGACGTCCAGGTGACTTTGAAAGATGAAACCCCGGTGATTTTGTCGTAGAAACGCTTTTTGACCTTCCCGCAGTCCACCACGTACTTGATGCCGGGGATCGTCAGAGACGTTTCGGCCACGTTGGTGGCCACGACGCACAACCTTGTCCCAGGAGGAGGGGGCCTGAAAACCTGGGACGAAACACGGAGGATTGGAGTCAGCGAAAAACAGAAATTGAGGGGGGGGGGAGGGGACTTAACCCAAACAGAATTGAATTAAGGACCTATAGGTTAAAAAGACCTGAATGTAGATGCTCAGTAATTCTGTTAGTCAAATTAAAAACATTAAATATTAACAGATATACAAAAATATACATGTATTTATTGTGAAGTAGATTTAAAAAAATAGATACTGGCCCTGGCAATATTTATTTATTTATTTGGATTTATACCCCGCCCTCCCCGTGAGCAGGCTCAGGGTGGGTTCCAATAGTATTAAATACAATACAGTTAAAACCACTTATTTGTTTATTTATTTAAAAATCATTAAAACGATGATATAAAATAACACAAATCCTAAGTACCATGTAAACTCTAACGGATATCAGATCTCTTAGCAGTTAAGATGGCATTAAAAAACTGAGGATTAAGAAGAGAAGAAAAATAACACAAATCCTACCATGTAAACTCTAACAGATATCAGATCTCTTAGCAGTTAAGATGGCATTAAAAAATTAAGGATTAAGTAGAGAAGAGGAGATTGGATTTATACCCCGCCCTTCACTAAGCAAAGGTGTCTCAGAGTGGCTTACAATCTCCTTTCCCTCCCCCTCCCCACAACAGACACCCTGTGAGGTAGGTGGGGCTGAGAGAGCTCTTGACAGAAACTGCTCTTTTTCAAGAACAGCTCTTAACAGAACTACGGCTTGCCCAAGGTCATCCAGCCAGGTGCAAGCGGAGGAGTGGGGAATCAAACACGGTTCTCCCAGATTAGAGTCCGCGCACTCAACCACTACACCAAACTGGCTCTCTAAGGATTCAGGCCACTGATGGGGGGGCCAAGTCAAGGGGAGGGGACATCCTCCACCTCAACCAAAAGCTCGGTGGAACTGCAGAACTGTAATAAATTGCAAACAAATGGTAAACAAATCAAAATGTATAACGGCAACCAAAAAGGACCATTATTTTGGCCCACTGGCTTTCCTCAGTGGTCAGACAAATGACATTACCGGATGGCTCCTGACGCTACAACGCAATAGTGATTTCTTATGAACTGACCAAGATGAAATTCTTTCATGATTATTGTCTGTGACCAAAGACAAAGATATCAATCAGAGGCCTCATTCTTGATAGCTTGCTGCTAAGGTCAGGTACACTTTCCTATTGTAATGGCTCAATTGTGTACCTTTATCACTTCGTCAGAAAAATTCGATGCAGCCAGAAGCCAATAGCGATGTATCTTCCAATTCTATTTCACTGCAGCGCCATAGTTTCTAGTGATATTGCTGGGAGGAGGAGGAAAGAGAAGGATTTTTACCTTGGCTTGTTTCTCTGGCGCCAGTAAGGAGTACAGCGGAAGAACGTACAGCGGAAGAGAAGAGTCTGGTTTCTCATCTGTGTGCACATTAAACAAAGACACACACATACACAATGTTATACATTCAAGCAGTATGCTGACTGATCATTTGTTTGTAATTCCCATCAAGATACATGAGAAATATCACCTTCTTCAATCTGAAATTTATCCCAAAACTACCTGGTTCAGGGAGAAATGGTTTCCATTCCTTGAGAATGTCACTGAAAATGATATTCAAGCCTCTGATCCATATATTGGACACTTACACCTATAAATGTAACACACCTGGATAGGTTTGCTCTGCAATAGCTCTAAAAAGTACAATAATTGGCTGTGTAATGCATACTGGCACTGTTAGATAATTCTGACTGTTCATAATTGAGCATACATACTGACCACTTTGTTACTTGGTTTTATTATAACAAATTTAGAGTCCAGCAGCACCTTTAAGACCAACAAAGGTTTATTCAAGGTACGAGCTTTGTGTGCATGGACACTTCTTCAAATACAATGGAATGGGAGGTAAGGTTTGCACTTATAGACAGGCTAAACAGCAAAGTAACATGTAACATGATGAAGATGTTTTAAGATATACGAAAACAGAATTAAATAACAAGCTAAGCTAAGGTTATATTAAACAACAAACTAAGATTGGTTTTATCTCTCCTTATAATAATAATTCCATTTTCGAGTGGCAAAGTTCTATGCGTGCCAAAATCAGTTGGCTGCCTGAACTGCCACTTACAAGGCACTGGCTGCGTTGGCTGCCTGGGTTGCAGAGTCCCGCCCACAGAAACGGCTGCCACCGACTCCGCCACCGACTCAGTGTGCTCGGAGCTGACGGAAGGGATGGACAGGACTCTCCATGGGGCTGGCTGGGGCAGCGTTGGGGGTGGGGAGGGGGATCCTTGCTTCAGTCCTCTCCCACGCCCCCCTCCATCCGTCATGCACCCCATACATGGGCGAGGACCCAATGCACAGCGGCCGGTTCCCCCCTCACGCCACTGCTGCCCCGGCCACTTACCTCTCCTCCCTGGCTCCAGCCACTCAAACTGGCTTCGCCAGGCCCTCTTTCTAGAGCTCGTTGCATTTCTTTCTGCAATGGGCCTTATTACTACTTATATTATATTCATTAAGATCAGATATTATGATACAATGTTTGTAACTGTTTCCCAGTTGTGTCGTAAAACTTATAAAATGTTAATTAAAAAAAAAAGAATACATGAGAAATCCCTGCCCCAAAGAGCCAGCAAATTAAAGTTCAACAGTGGGGAAAAAAATGAAAGGAGGGGAGAAGCCAAATAATAAGGGATGCACATCTATGGTGCAATATTAACATCAGAAAAACACAAGCAACAGCGATCTTCAGGGAAGAGGTTCTGGATTTGGGGCGGGGCTGTGTCTCAGTGGGAGAGCCTCTGCATGGCATGCAGAAGGTCCCAGGTTCAATCCCCGACATCTCCAGTTAAACGGACCAGGCAGTAAGTGACGAGAAAGATCGCAGCCTGAGACCCTGGAGAGCTGCTGCCAGTCTGAGTAGACGATACTGACCCTGATGGATTGAGGATCTGATTCAATATAACGCAGCTTCATATAACTTGGGGCTATCAACCCCAAGCAGCATCAAGCAGCAACCGTCTTCTATTCAACAAGAACATCAGAAACTTGCTTGCTCACCTGCGGTGAGAAAGGATTTCCACCAGGCAACCCGATGGGAAATTCTGCAAACTGGGACAGCTGGTATAGTCATTCCCAACACTGTTCCCAGGGACACCATGGAATCTGCTGATATGTCTCCTGGTGGCCCCTGACTTCTTCCCTGAAACAAAGCGGCTATCTTGAATTTGCTCCAGCTCACCAGAGCAGGAAGTGTTTCGGAGGACCCTCAGAAGCACCACCTTTGGGTCTGCAGAGCGGACCTGTTCAGAAACATCAACCTCCACTGTAAGAAGGCTTGGAACCTCCCAACATCTTGTTGAAGTTTCCACTGTTTTGTGATTGGACTGGGCCCCACGGCTGCCATTTTGCTGGGGAACCTCTGTTCTCGAAATTTCAAAGTTCCTGCAGGTTCAATAAAGTTGGGGCACCCCTGGCTTAGTGTGTCTGAGTAAGGCTGGGAAAACCTGGGTTCAGATCTCCAGTCGGCCACGAAGTTCATTGTGAAGATAAAATGGAGGACAACAATGTACCAAGCCCTCTATGGGAAAGGCAAGAAAACAGCATACAAAGTTTGGTTTCAGACAGTGAGTATCATATCCTTCCAAAAGGCAAACCACCTTCTAAGCCGTTGTCTCCCAAGTCAAGATCCAGATCTGAGCCCGCAAGGTCCGCATCTTCGTCATCCTCGTCGCCAGCCTCTCTGTCCTCGTCTCCTTCGTCAACCGGCATAACAGAGTAGTTATCCAGATCAATGTTAGGTAGTGTCTAGAAAAAGGGGTAAAATAGGAAGGCTTGAGAAGGGCTTTCTAAAATTTAAATTCCAGAGGAATCTACTTTGGTGCCATTTGATGTTCTTTTAACTTTAACGTAACTGTTTTATTCTGGGCTTCATAATGTATTTTTTGTTGTCAACTGCCCTGAGCCCTCTGAACTCAGGGAAGGGCAGTATATAAACGGAAACAGCAACAGCGGCTCATTGCTAATATGATATGTTCTAGAACAAGCCTGAAAATAGTCATGTGCCTGGTCGCCTAGGGAGGGCAAAGAATCGTCTCCAGGCGATCAGACAGTGAAGCGTCACACAAATTGGTTTCTCCCCCCACCTTCTTTAGGGAAGGAACATGTGAGGCAGGTGGACTCAGAATAGTCTCTATGATACCAAAAGGCCATCTTGGGCTGTTTGATAACAGGGAAATGATGCAGACCACATATAGATTAATGAGGAACTTGCATGCAGCTTAAGAATGGTACCTTGCATGTAAAAGAACATTTCTAGCCGTCATGAGAAAGTTAACATGTTAAAAGTAGCAGAAACAAAAAAGGAAGCTGAAAAGAAAGTCAAACTAGTTGTAGATTTTCTGGGCTGTGTGGCCGTGGTCTTGGCATTGTAGGACCTGACGTTTCGCCAGCAGCTGTGACTGGCATCCTCAGAGGTATAACACAGAAAGAAGGAGTATTCTCTGTGTCAGGGTCCTCGACACAGAGAGTACTCCATCTTTCTGCGTTATACCTCTGAGGATGCCTGTCACAGCTGCTGGCGAAATGTCAGGCCCTACAATGCCAAGACCACGGCCATACAGCCCAGAAAATCTACAACTAATGAACTCCAGCCATGAAAGCCTTCAAGAACAGAAAGTCAAATTCTTTGTGTCTTCAACACGGCGGCATGGCAAACTGTTTCCAGTGTAGTTCTGTAAGGAGGAAGACTTTGTTGTATGGGAAAAACAGCTGCCTTCTACCAGAGATTTTGGCTGTCACACGTACCACTTTTTTGCTGCGTTTGGCTTTCTTAAATTTCTTCATTTCTTCCACTGAATCCTCCTTCTCTTCGCCACCTGGAAAGAAGCACCTCCGTCAACACAACAAACCCTTAACGAATAAAAAGCACATGGTGGTTTCTGCCGTGCCAAAGCCGCAGCACATGCTGTGGCGGGAGGCCAAGCCAGAGCCTTGTGGCAAGATGTTCAAAGACACAGAAGAAGTTTGAAAGGAGAGCAACAGCTGGGCACGACCAACTTCGGACCTGCCCTGAGATGCCACGGCCACAAAGTGGAACCTCCAAATCTGTGCTCAGCTGAAGTGAGCTCCCCAAAGCCTGGAGCCGGGAAGTCATAATATTCCTCCAGTTTCAGCCATCCAGCACTCTGCTAATTTCCCGACCCGGAAAGGTTATAAAACCTTCTGGGTCACGTTTGGGCAACGGAGGCTGCCATACTTGCTCATGTGACTGTGTTAAATCGACATCGTGAAAGGTATGAAGGGAGAAAGGGGGGAAACTGCTTGACAGGGAAGAGGGGTGACTAGCAGAGCGAAATGTTCTCCCCCCCCCACCTCCAAAATTAACTGAACCAAGTCACTTGCAAAGGTGTGGGGGGCCCTGATTTCTAAGGAGCTTTGCATGACCGCATTTAGCGTATTCAGTAGAGATTTCATCTCCTCCTTTACCAGTCTTTCACACAGAAATTCCAATCTCACTTTCAAGAGCCAGTGTGGTGTAGTGGTTAAACTGTCTGACTAGTATCTGGGCGACCCAGGTTCGAATCCCCACTCTGCCATGGAGGCTTGCTGGGTGGCCTTGGGCCAGTCACACACTCTCACAGCCTGACCTACCTCCCAGGGTTGTTGTTGTGAGGATAAAATGGAGGAGAGGAGACGAATGTAAAGCCACTTTGGGTCCCCACTGGGGGGAAGGGTGGGATACAGAATAAAGTAAATAAAGAACATTGGGGGTGGGGGGGGGTACCTCGAGGCGCATTCCTGTGGAAAGGAAAAGACTTCCTCAGCCTCCTGCAGAGCGAATGCACTTCGGCCTGGCCAGTGAGGAACACCAAAATGCCTCCTGCAAGAAAAGGAAGTGTCTTCGATCAGAGCGCATGTAGACAGAGCGAAGGGAAGCGGCCCAAAGAACCACTGTCTATTTCTCAAAATACACTTGTGGGCACAGTTCCCCTCCAGCAAAAAAAAAATATTCCCACCACTGTGGACCTTCATGACTGCTCAGCCAGGACATCCTGCCCTCAAGGGAGGGGCCGTGGCTCAGTGGGCAGAGCATCTGCTTGGCATGCAGAAGGTCCTGGGTTCAATCCCCAGCCTCTCCAGTTAAAAAGATCTGGCAGGAGGTGATGAGAAAGACCTCAGCCTGAGACCTTGGTGAGCGGCTGCCAGTCTAAGTATACAATGCTAACTGTGATGGACCAAGGGGCTGATTCACTATAAGGCAGCTTCCAGTGTGCAGCCGTAAGTACACATGGAGGTCTGAGGTGCACATATAAAGCTTTGGCACCTCTTTCCTGGACTGCAATTCTCATGTTCTTCTCTCCTTTTGAATCAAGGGAGTCACAACGATTAATCCAAGATGGGATCAACTTGGCTCAACAGCCACCCCCCAAAATAACACACACCATTCTCTTTGAATTGCAGGGAATGCTTTGCAGAAAAGCATTCCAACGCACAGACTTCAAACTCACCCAGCATCCCTGTCCATCATTTATCCCTGCAGCCTCCATCCAGAGGAAAGGTGCCTACCGTCACCTCTGGAACCAGCCGCGGGGGGCGGGGGGGCAGGGCACCATCCTACCATCTGACGGGTCTCATCCCAGTTCTTCTGCAAAGGGTGGAGACCAGTGCTCCCTCTAAGCTGAGTTAGTGTGAGCTAGCTCACAGTTCTTTAGCCATCGGCTCACACGTTTTTGTCTTCGTTTAGGGAGGATGGCTCCAGAAGAAGAAGAGAATGGATTTATACCCCGCCCTTCACTACCCAAAGGTGTCTCAGAGCGGCTTACAAACGCCTTTATTTTATTTTATTTATTTATTTATTTATTTACATTTATAACCCGCCCTCCCCGCGAACGGGCTCAGGGCGGCGTACAGATGGGGCCAATGCCCAATACATAAAACATTAAAACTGCATTTTAAAAACATTCAGTGCAACATAAGTGCTCTCCACAACAACTAACAAGGGAACAGATGACGTCACCAGGTTGGTATCCTTAGTGGCCACAGCTCCACGCAGTACCACCATTTTTGCACTCACGGCGAGTTGGTAATAAGGGCTAGGACAGATGGTAACAGTCGTGGCGGCTCCTACTCAAACGCCTGGCGGAAGAGCTCCGTCTTGCAGGCCCTGCGGAACTGTG